CTCAAAACTGGATTATAGATGGCAGACAGACACAAACAAACAAAACAGTTTACGACACCAACTGTCTGCAAACGGTTTTGTTGGTCTGCAGCCTGTTTTGTTTGTTTGTATCTGTCTGCCATCTATAATCCAGCTTTGAGATCCCTTCCCAGACGCCTTAACAGCCACTCACACCCTGGGACATCTGACCTCAGGAAATCACACGATAGGGTGGGTCCAGGTTTCACAATGAACTCACCCAAAACCCTGGCTGATTGTGACCCACACCCATTTTCACACCTTGGCTCATGTGATTAGGTAGAGGATCATCAAGGGGTTCTTTGTCCCTCTTTGGGGGATACTCCCACTGGGTTTAAATCTGGGACTCTCCACCATTTGACCTTTAGAACTGAAGAAGCTTCTTGGATGAGAGGTCATCTTCAAGCAACTTAAAGAAGTCCAGATGCTTTTCTTTCGAAACTCCTTAGACTAAGTAACTTAAATACACTCCTCGACTGATCTGAAAACGTGAACATCAAGTCAGTTAAACTTCAGGAAATCACTCAGTCTAGTAAGGAAATATAAAACAATGTGAATTTGTTTCACCTGCGTGGATGTGAATGAAAGTGACAAGTGCACTGGAGAGGCAAACCGTGAAATGGACACAGTGGACCTGCATGTTTGTTACACACTTTGCCATGCTATCTGGTTGACCCGATGCTAGCAATGGTCAGCAATCAGTCAGCAGGGAAATGGAGTAAAGTGACTGCTAAACCATTTCTGCTTTGGGAGGTTTTCTTCGTGTTGCTTCTGTGAGAAAGAAATACTTTAACTTAATTTAAATGTAATGTTTGGATTTTTTTGTGATAAAAAAAAAAACAATACACAAACAAAACAGGGATATGCAAATAAATGACACATAAACCATTTAAACAGTAGAAAATCTGACCATGTAGAACATGTTTTGTAGTGAATGGTCTTTACAGCTAGTTTTTATTCATAAGTCTGAATACAGGAACACATTTTGTGCTCCACTGAAATGTTATGAAACAAGTGTTTACACTGCAAGGGAGCAGATTTA